CGTGGATATGACCAATCGAGAGGACTTCAACTTGGGTGATCACACTAATCTCTGACAGTTCTTCTTCATGCTACAATCTGTGAAGTTCTCCTGTATTCATTATCTTGTCTGATTTTTCCTAGAACCCTCAGAGGAGCTTATTTCAAGAACTGGCCATCTTTAGAGTGTTTGTTTGCAATCAGGCATGCCCTTCTCTTACTACCTGTCATTTTTCTCTTTCTCTCAAAGTTAAAAATGTTTATTCTTAGAAGGAATATCCATACAGGCCCTCCTCCTTTCTGCCCCAACATCCTTCTTCCACTAACAGTGTCACCAGGACTACCATTCATTGTCACCATCGTCAAAATTTTCAAGTTGATTTACTTCACATCTCTCCACTTTAGACTTGAATTGCACGATTCTTGTCATCAGTACCTAACTGTATCTTAGATCTGCATTTCATTAGAAGATCTTTTCCTTTCCCTATTGATCGTGTCTCATGGAGTAATTTAGCTCAATTCCAATTTGCCTTTGCAGGCGGGGTGCCCTCCATCCACAGAAGTGAGTTATGTGTCTTCAAGTGGTGCAGCGTATGAATCTTGTTAAGTTTTGCTGCCTTGTAACCCCACTGATGGAATATTTAATCACAGAAATGAGTTGGCAGATATGATATACAATGTGGGTGAGCGTTGCAGTGTGTATCTTACCAGCAATTGAGAAACAGATAAATTTGCCATTTGTCACTTCTGAGCTGACAACTGTGTATAACCTTCTGTTATTTATTTTTATTTTGTTTTACTTATTTATGAAGATTAAAGGTGCTTTAAATCAATATTTCTGTTGGCTAGATATCCTGATTATCTTGAAAATACACTTAAAAAAAAACCATTTTATTAGAAGGCAAGGGAACCTCTTAACACTGACAGAGAAAAGTATAAACTCCCATCAAGGACCCTAACCAGATTCTCGGAAAAGCTCTTTCTAATGACACTAAATAACTTGAGGCATGACACATGAGCAGATATTTGCATGTATTCTTCTTCTGTCGAGTGCCTTCAGGTATGTTTAAACTCTAAAATGGTCTGACTGTAGACATTGGCCAAAATATTCACACCCTACTTGGACTTTTTTGTTTTATTGACCTAGTCATTTGTCTTGAGAATAAGTCTCAAGGAGTCTGAAGATGATTAGACTTAGGAAAATAATCGATGTCATTTTAGCTTCATAGGAAAACACCCACCTGTCTGTGGAAAAGATTTATACCTGATCATGGGATATGCTGATTTATGTATATCTGCTTCTAGAGACTGGTAATGAATAAGAATTTAAAACAGTTCTTACAGATAGGGATTGAAGAGAATTCAGAAAACCAGTGAAAAAGAAAGACCTTTTATAACAGCTTCCTAAATGCTTCCCCTGGAGTGCATATGTGAGGGAGAGCAAATGTCATAATTTATCAAAGCAAATTAATACTGTTCAGCTAGTAATTAAAGGCCCTCATTAAGAAGTGCAACTGCCCTGCCCACCCCCAACTTGCGTTAGCAATAAAAATGCACTCGGGGCGTCAAAAGGTTATATACAAAAATCAATAACTTGCCATTTTATAATTAAAAGAGAAAATAAATGTTAGGGAAAAGTCCACTAAATTAGGAAAATTACCTTTAGGAGAGATTGAAAATATTGATTTTAATTTACAAAATATGTGAACTTTTTATGCCCTATTTTGAGAGACAATTGGAGACTGGGTTGTTAATTCTATATAAGCTTCAGAAGATCAATAATTATACTATGGGAATATTATAACATTTGTCATTAACACCAAGTTTTACATATAGGAATGACTAACATGTCTGGCTTTCTATCTTAGGCAGATACAGAGCTAGCCTCCAAAACACCCAGAGCAAATCAATGACAAGGTCTCAATTTCAGCTTTGAGGCACACTCGAAATTGCAAGATGAATCCAGACTCTTTTGATAGCTGGGGAAATTTTAAATGCCCTATGAATTCTTAGTCATGGATATGTAGATGCATGACATTAATAATTACACCTGGTATAAAACTGCATACCTCCTACATTGGCGTCTTTGCACAGAGCCATTCCACAGGCACAGCGCCTGAAACCCCAGAGGGAAGCTGCCTGGATTCTCAGTGTTTGCGGGTCTTCACCTATTTCAAAGGGATTGCCCTGGACTACTGAAACTGCGGCACCACTTCCTCACGTTTCTGAATATTGTGAACTATGTTTTCTTACACAGAAACGCAGGCAGAGGGGATGGTGTCTGATTATTCAGGGTAATCCAGATGTTAGTGGCACAAACACAGCAATTCGGATTTCTCACGTGTGCCCCATGCTATTAGAGTTAAGTGTATTGGAAGGACTCATAGAAATAATTTTTGGCTGTCCGGTCTCCTCAAAGTTCCCCAGACACAACCAATTTACACATGTGAATATGGTGGTGGTTGGAGTGGTGCTAATTGGAATAATCCAGGATGATTATGCTATTTCTCTTCTTTAATTAGACTAATTTGCACATGGAGCATGATTATAGGCATGGTCAATAGAAATGAATACTTATTAAAAAGTAAAGAAACTCTTTAATCTGGTTGTAAAGAATATAGGTTCTGGGATGATTGAAGCCTGATTTCAAAATACAGCCTGCTTGTTACTAGCTGTAAAATCTTAGCCTACTACTCCAAACTCTCTGTACCTTAGTTCCCCTATTTAGGAAATTGCTATGAGGGTTAAATATATTAATTTATGTAAAATGCTTTAAACAATGCCTGGCCCAGAGAAGGTATTCAGTAAGTATTAACCCTTCTAAGAACCATGTGCTTCCCATAGCTTAATGATCACTACAACTGTCAAGGCTAGGCCCATGGCTAATCTGCAGAGCTGCTATGATGCTCTAAAAGTCATGCAGGCTAAGTTACCCTTGCATGTGTCAGTCTGTCTGAATTGTTGCCCTGTCTTAATGTCCTCGCAAACTCCTCTAGATATGTACATAGGCTTGGAAGTACAATAAACGAGATGTTTGGTGGCTTCCTGGTTATCAGAGCCAAGGGTGATCACCAACTGCACTGTGTGGGACCCCAAAACCAGACTGTCCCCTCTCTCCCACGTTCACACACCCATACCCCACATCCTCACAAGGAACATCTTGCTTCTTGTTGTTGACTCTGATACTCTGGGGAGGAAACGCACTCAGGGGTGCACACACACGGCAGGCATACGGACACTGTGCCACTCCATAGTCCTCCTACTTCACTTCACGGACAGAGCTTGCAGATGCTCACACACTGCCCCTGCCTTCCTCTTTGACCACTTGGGGCATATAATTTCCTTGCAGCTTTGGACAAAGACATGCTGTGGCATCCCTGCAAGGTCCTCTCTCCCACCCCCATCCCCAGCAGACTGCCGTGCCCCGATCCCAGAGAACGAACAGACTCATCCTCTCCTGAATACAGAAGCTCTCTTGGTCTAACAGTACACTCAAACTTCAGATGAATCAGCTCTCAGTGAATTTTCCCCTCACAGCACAGCGGCGGAGCATGCACTTACTGGCTTTCATTTACCAAACATTTCTGTAGTGCTGTCTGTGCACCAAACACTCTTCACACATCAACCCATTTAATTCTAATACACCCTGTGAATTTATTACTACCATCATCCCCACTTAACAGTTGAAGAAAACTGAGGCACAGAGAGGTTAAGTAACTTGCCCAGAGTCACACTGTTGGTGAGTGGAGGAGCCAACATTCGAACCTGGGTTATCTGGGTGCAGTTTCCATGTTCCACACCTGGCTATGTGTCCTCTCAAGAGGCAGGATCTAAACAGCATCTTGGAAAGCCTGATAGTGAAGTCTCTCCTCTCCCCCAGGGGAGGCAACACAGCTACTTCACAGTGGTGGAATCCTGGGAGTTAACTTAGGCTCCCAGAAGAGCCCACACGTCACCTACCAAAAGTCCAGAACTTACCTACCATGGGAGTTTATCCAATTTTCAATTTTAATTTTTATCCAATTGGCTATGGTGTTAATGTAGCTGCATTTTCTGTAGTCCTTTTTTTATCCACTTGGGAAAAAGATTGAAGCTGGGCATCCCAGGCAGAGGCAAAGCAACAGGAATGACTTACCCCGAGGGACCATAAGGGAGTGGCTCTCTACCAAGTGGGTACGAATTCCTCCTTATTAAAAAGCAAGAGCCAGATCAAAGACAGACTTTTTTCAATAGGCATGTGGCAAATTGATGCCGATGGCTCTAGGCATCCCATGCAGCCTTGTTAATGCACGGTAGACAAGTGGAAGCAGTCACAGGCCAGGCCAAGTAAACAGGCAGAGACGTGACATCTCAGCCACTGTTGCTTCAGAGCTATGTGCTCCCAAATTCTAGTAATCCAGTTTTCTAAGAGAGTAGGTTTCCCATCTGAGGGGTAGCTGGTGCTTAGGCAGTGAAGGGGGTGAGGAGAGACATATTCTTGAAGGCAAAGTAAAGAGAAATGGAATTGTTTAGACAATTGATTAATAGAGAAAGATAATTCAGGGATTTCTTTTTCCTAGCTTTTAAATAGGCCACCTCTTGGCAATTCCAAATCACTGCCACATTATTGGAATAATTAAGCCAGCTCTCTGCTTTGCCAGGGAAAAGAAAATGCAACGCCAAATGGAAATGCATGGCTAAGAAATGTATTCAGGCACATTGAAATAAAATGGGAGTGAGCAGCTCTCCATTTGTTCAATAGCTATTGAACAAAGCCTCAATGATTTTTTAAGGCAAAATTGATGTGAAATATTGTAAGGAGCAGTAGCTCCACACTTGCCCACGAGGTACCTTAGATGAGTCATTCTCTTTAATTTCTAAAGAGTTTATAAACACTCTTGGTTTTGCCCAAAGAAATCATTCAGAACGTGTTAGGATAGGGATTCATTTGGTTCTGATTATTTTACAAAACCCATTCTTTACTGGCAGGCAAAGCACATTTAGAAAGACCATGAAGATGTCGTGCAAAGATAAAGTCTTTACCTGCATAGAATTCGGGACTGTAGACTGCTCCCACAACCGGATTCAATTTCCAGCCTTAAAATAAATACACAAAAACATAGTTATCACATTCGATCCAACAACTTACATCGTTACAAATTAACCACACAGCAAATGGATTGAAGTATTTGTGTGTGCATGTATTTCAAAATGTAAAGCATACATAGTTTGGGCATGCACAAACTATTTGGAAACTATTAATATATATATAAGAAAATGGATTTATGCCATTCTTTGATTTTCTGCTAAAGAAAGTTAATGAAAAGGAAGCTATTGACCAGCTACAAGGAAACCTTTTGAAAATGTTGTGGTAGTTAATTTTTTACCATATCAGTATTTTCAGAGCCATTATAATAATTTAAATTTTTGTCTTGTTTCATGTATCTCTGCTAGATAATCCATCACATGTCCCTTTGCATTAAGTTTATAAAAATTTGAAAGCTCACATAAACAAAATTCTCTTCAACATATTCCAACGATTGTCATTCCTAATTATGACCCTGAGACACTAGAGAATTCTGAAGTACTTTTTGAATACCAAAGAAAATGATATTTTATCCCCTAGAGATTTAGTGTGGAATACATTTTAATGCATTCAGGAACCGTAAAAATTCTTAATCAGTGCATGATATCTAAGGTAACTTTCAAATAACCTGTATATAAGATTAACAGAATTCTGTAATTTTCCAAATGTTCTAATGGAGAGCTTCCTATAAAATGAATCCTGTCCCTTTAGAAATTTTTACTCAAGAAAAGGGCACACTAGAGTTTTCACAAGTCAGGGAAGCACATGCCAAACCCTTCGGACATGATTTAGGGATTAGCCTCCAAAGAACAATCAAGTGTTAGTGTTTTGGGATGGCTTCTTTCTCCTACTGTAAGTCTTTAGGAACATATCCTTGATAGAATTCTTGAAAGGCAGGAGAGGGTGGGTGTGCTGCCCTGCCTTGTGTCTTTGGGCAGAGAGTCAAATACCAAAGGTCCATTAATAAATGTTCCTGAGGAAAAGAAGTGATTAGAGTTTGGATGTGAGAAGTGTTTCCAATGACAGGAACTCTCCTGATATTTTTCCAGAAAGCAGAAGTGTGACTTCCTACCTGCCCTAAACAATGTGTCTCTAAGAACAACTGAGAAATATTCTCAAGACTCAGAAAGGAGGATAAAGACTCAGTATCTTAGTAGATAAGTCGCCAGATCTATCGAGATCCAGAAGTTGTTAGAACTTTCAGTTCTAATTTGGGTAGCCAGGTGGTTTCCAGAATGACTTTAGGATAGAGTTTTCCAAAGTGTTATCCTTCAGTTACCTGGAAGGCATACTGATGGAAAGCTCCTGGGTCTCATTCTAGACCTAAAGAACATGACATGAATTCTGAGGCCTATTGCCCCAACAGTTTCTAGAGCTTCATACTAATACGTCCCTATCTTATATTCATCATGTCTTGTCTTATAGGAATGTCTATAGCGATACGAAAATAAAAATTATGGGATCAATGGAGCAGTGGTCAAGGCAACTGGATCCCACATGACTGACTGTGCAGTTCAAGTCCTGGACCTGGCAGCTTGAAAAACACAGTAGGTGTGTGTGTGTGTGTCCTAAGTCTCAAGAGGAGAATAAAGAAAGAATTGTGAGGGACCAGCAGACGGCATGAGATTACATTGTTGAATTCCCACATAGTCAACTGCAGTTTGAGTCTTGGACCCAGAGGCTTAAAACTCACGCCGGGTGCATGTGCATGTGTGCCAAAAATCCTGAGAATAATGGAGGAAAAGGGATTGCTGCATGGCGTTTCCCCCTAAAGGGTAAATTCTCACTTTCTGTCTTTCTGTCTCACCAGTGAGTGCACACATCCTATAGCAAATACCTCTCTTAAAAAAAAAAAAAAAAAAAAAAGTCAAAAAGATTGTGGTCTGGTCATCCTTAATGGGGTTGCTTTCCTCATTTCTATAAATAAATAAATAAATAAATAAATAAATAAATAAATAAATAACCTAAGATACTTCAGAATGCATGTTTTATGAATGTGGAAAATGACTTCAATTTAATCAGCTTGAAATTCCATTTTCTCTTTAAAAGAAAAATGCCCACTTCCTGAAGACATGGGAGCTAACAACCATATTTCAAGTCACTTGATGTCTAAGAAATAAGTAGTTGAAAGCAATGCTGCAGACATAGCTAATGTCACCTGCCTTTGTAGTTCTTCATAGAACTCTAGAATGTGTGCACTATCACTACGGGTTAAACTTGAGAAAGTCCTTCCCTCTGCATTCCAGACCAAGGCACTTTGCCTCTTGCCTATACAAGACCCACAGAAAAGAATGCCTTCGACATCTCTCTTACTCCCTTCTTCCTTTATCCCTTTCCCTTCTCATCCATTCTAATCACAGTGGCCAAAGCAACTTTCAAGAAATAAATCAGATATATCATTCTGCTACTTGTAATTTAATAGTATTCTGAACTTTGGATAAATGCAAATTCTCTATCTTGGTCTGCAAGAGCTCCCCATCCAGCCCTGTTGATTTATTTTATGTTACAGTCCTCTCTGATTGACAGTGGCATGACCCTTTTTCTCTGTATAAAACTACCCAAGATCATTCCAGCTAAAGTGCTTCTCTTTGCTTAGAGAATTCTCCCCAGCTCTCCAGAGTTGACTCAATGTTGTTAGGTCTTGATGTCTTTCCAGACATGCTGCTTAATATCACTGTATTGACTCCTCTTAGAGTTACTCTTTGATTCAATTCCCAGTGTTATTTTCTGCATAGCTGTTAATGCAACCTGGGTTTATTTTCTCTCTTCCTTTGCTGTTCTTAATTGTTTTTGATAACCATTCTCCCTCATTAAAATTACTGGTAAAGTGGGCAGGGCTGACATGTCATGAATTTCAATCCCTAAAACTATGTTTGGCAAATACTAGGCGCTGCATAAACATTTACTTGGCTGTATTCTAAAGGAATTGTAGGAATACAATGCTTTTACTAATAGACTCATTCCCTTCTGGCTCAGATTCTGTCTCCTTCCAACCTCCAGTGACCTAATTCCTGATACACGTTCTATATCTAATGAAGGACCCTGTTAGGGGTGACTGTCTTCCAGGGAAAGGCATTAAGAATCCAGCCCTTGAAAATCACCTCCTCTCAGACGTACAGAGCTCTTGCAGGCTTATGTAAATGTATGCAAATCACATGCAAATGGACTCATAGTCCCTGCAACTCCTTCTAGTACCTGGAAGAGACCCTTGGGATAACCCTGCTGGAGATATGAGCCTGCACTGTCAGGAAGACGGACAAAATGATCCCATTTTTAATTTCTCAGGCAGTTTGTGTATGTCCCCAGGCCTTGCAAATTCAGAGATTTTGATCAAGGACATTAAACCGAACAATGAGGCTTACAACAAAAGGAGAACAGCTGATAAAACCCACTGCTCTCAGCCTCGTAGGGCCCCACACACAACAAGGCAATGAAGCAGAGACCAGACACGTTGGGGTCTTATTCTGTAACAGACACATGAGTATTTTGGAGAGACCCCTCTGTGGCCAGGCCTCCAGAGACTGCTTCCAAGTCATGTTACCCCCAACCCCCAGCAAATTCTGCTTATCAATGGTCACATAACTGCCTTCTATAGAAAAGCACTGACCAAGATCCCTTGTGTTAGCTCTTGCTGTTTGGGGTGTTAAAACAAAACAAAACAAAAAATCAGTGTATGCCTTCTCTAGGGTTTTGCTGGAGTGGATATCAAAGTAACACATTCCAGGGTGTATCCTTGAATACACTACAGGGGGTTCAAACACCGCATACAGATGTACTCTAAAGACATAAATTAAGGATGCCAGAGACCTGGTTGCTGAAATGGTGCATAAGGCAACTCCCCAAAGCCAAAATGAGAACTAAGTTGCACATAGTCTGTAGATGTGTTTTGTTTCGGCTCTCTCTGCTGTTTTTGGCAGCATGTATGCACTGCCAATATTTAGATTTCATCTAAAACACAGCATTTCTGGTCCTCTTGAAACACTGGTAGATAGGTGAACTTCCTGAATACTCATGGGTAGGTGTATGGGCGGTAAGCAGAGGCTGTGACATATACCCCAGTTAGCCGTACAATTACCAGTGCGCCCCACTACGTGGCTGGCTTGAAGGCCAATTGCCCAGGGTCTTTTATTGTGAAGCTGCACTGCTTTTTCCTTCTAATAGAGAAATTGTTTGATTCACCAAGTAAGAAAATGAACTAGTCCACAAAGGTAGTTTCTCAGACTCCTCTATGTTTTACCTGCTTGGTGCTGGACAGCATTTGAATATTTGATCTTTGAACACTGTCTACCCACCAATTCAACTACAATTCTACAGCTAAAAAGGAACAAGGTGATTACTTCATACTAGTTTGACTGTGTAACTGCATAATATTTTGCTGTATGTGGTAGTGACAAACATTTGGGGGCACTTTGTATACCTAGCATTGTGTCAAGAATTTTATCTCCCATAATTCTCACTATACCTATGATGTTGGTCTCATTGTCTATACAGTCCCATCTTGAGAAAACTGGTGTGTGGGCAGTTTCCCCGACGTGCCTACAGTTCAGCAGCCAGTGAATGGCAGAGCTGACACTGGATCAGAGTCTACCTCCTTCTTGGAGAGCCCTGGAAATTTCTGTCCACTTTCCATCCTTCCTAAGACTTCAAGAAAAATAGAAGAGCCACATGTAATACCCAGGCTTCCCCAACACGCGGTTAATCTCTGTGAATCCAAGCTCCCAACTTGTTTTGCAGATTCAACACTTGATCTCTAATAAGCACAATAAACTCCACTTCCTCTGTGTGGATAAGTGTCCTTAAGAAAAAGAGTAACAGAGAAATAGCCTAATTCCCTCTTTGCGGAGTTTTCTGATGAGTTGGATGTCCAGAAGCCTATATTTTATTATACCTTTTCCCCTCATAACCATGGTAAAATGTCCTGAGGACAGAATCTGCATCCTCTATTATGTTACTAACTGTGTTCTCTATGGAAGAATCTCCTAGACAAGCAACTCGCTGTATCTGTGGTCTAGTATGACCCTTCATTGCTGCTAAACTTTTGTTGGATATGTGGTAGAAGGAATGTACGGAGGTGGTGCTGGCAGTGTTAACTGTACTGGTTGATCATCCTTTATCCAAATGCTTGGGACCAGAAGAGTTTCAGATTGTATATTTTTTCAGATTTTGGAGTATCTACATATACATAATAAGATATCTTGGGGATGCAACTCAAGTCTAAACAAAATTTATCTGTATTTCCTATATGCCTTATACACATAGCTTGAAGGTAATTTTATACAATACTTTTATATTGCCGTTTTTTGACTGCAACCCATCACATGAGGTCAGGGGTGGAATTTTCCACTTGTGGAGTCACATCTATGCTCAAACAGCTTTCTATTTTAGAGCATTTTAGATTTGCGATTTAAGATTTGGAATGCTCAATCTGCATTGTACACTCTGAAGATGACCTCAAATTTTGACAACTCCAGTAATTTATAATTCTGCTGAAGCATAATTTCCATGGTTTGTGAGAATGAATTACAGAGCTAATTAGTGGACCATCCCATTGCTCATTTCAAAGTGACCTTACTGGTCCTGACTTATATATTCTCTTAACGTGACCATATCCTCTTGCTAAGGATATGAAAAGGCTTCATCTTTTTTCAGTTATATTGTATTGTAATTTATGGGAAATGTTATTTAGAGCAGTGAGTTAAAACTTGGAAAATTTCTGAAAACTGTATCACTTTTCTTTGGTTAGCAAAGTTGTCCGTAATCTCCTCTATAGAAGCCGCTATCTTCATATGATTAGGATTCACTTTCTTTATGGTTGTGTCTATACTAAACACGTACATATATATATATAATATAGAAAGACAAAAATTATGGAAATTTTTCTTAATAGAGAACTTTACATTCTCCTGTCTGTTAAATGTTCCTTCTCTTTGCCCCTCCCATTCACCCTCTATCTCCTACTCCCATCCCTTAAAGTCTCTGGTATCTACATTTATCCTCTCTACTATTAGATCTTCAGATCTTTCCATTTCTGCCAGAGGGTATAGACATTTGGTGCATATTGATTGGGGATATACAGCGTGTACCTTTCAAAGTCTGGCTCACTTCACTGAAAAGTTTCTTCACATTCTCTTTTAAATCAGATTTACTGTGACTGTCTGTCTGTCCTTTAGGTACCATACTCACATGTGTGATGAGACTAATCTTCTGAGAAGCCCTTTTCAGGTACATGGAGGAGAGACCCATGTGACTTATACCTGGAAACTAAGAATGCAGAGCTACCCAGAATGGGACGTGGGATGTTTATGCCAACATCTGGCAGTAACACAGGGCTGCATGGGTGATCGTCATTTTGCTACTGTAGCTGATTGCCATTTGAATGCAGCTCTGTAATATGCTGGGGGGAAATGATGCCTGCTACACACAGACCTGGCCACAAGATTTTGTCACTTCATTTAAAAAAGAAAAGGCCTCAGTAATTACTTCATCTCATCTAGCCTCAGTTCTTGCATCTCTAATATAAAGATAATGAGATCCTCTTTGCAGGAGTTCATTTGGGTCCAGTGCATTGAAAAAGCTTCACATAAGGCAGAAGCAGCCGGAGCTCCACACATGTCGGTTATTTACGAATGGGCTTTGAACAGTGCCCTCAAATCCTGCCGATCTGGTTCCTAGTCCTGGGGTATGACACTAAGCATTCTCTTGCTTCTTTTTTCCCCATAGACAGCACACACGAGCACCTACACATAGGCTCACAAGCACATCCGCACTTGTGTATCTGTGCATGCACACACAACTCCTGCTTCAAGGTGAAAGAACAGGCTTGATCGTCAAGTCACTGTCATCACCTGCTAACTCTGGCAAGTTGCTGAGCTATTACTTCCTTCCTAAGCAGAAATTCTTCACGACATATAAGTTCGAAGTTTGCTTCATTTCAGCACTGGCTGTTCAAAGTCTGTTGCAGAGATCGTCTATACTATTAAGGGTATGCTTTTTGTTGTTGCAGCTAGAAAAAATGGTCAGCAAAATCAATAGCCCTTTTTGTATTTCAACTTAGGGCCCTTACTATATTGAGGGCTGATTCCTATTTAATGGTGGTCCTTTTAAAGTCAAGAAAAACTGACCTGAAAAATTGTTAGCCTCTGGCAGAAGAAAGAGAAAACAAAACTACCAAATGCTAATGTCATTGTCTATAATGAAAATAAATAAATAAACATTGATCAGTATTGGAATTTAATAAGTCTATAGAGCCATTTTAAGGAATATTATATAACCACGAAAATAGGTAGTTTGTTCTCTCTATATACATCAACTTTTCTTTTTTCTTTTTGAATGGCATCTTGCTGTGTTATCCCCCTGCCTCAGTCTCCCAGCTAGGGCACTATGTGCATGCCACCATGCCTGCCTCTCCTTCAGACTAGGTCTTGCCATGTTGCCTAAGCCAGTCTTGAGCTCTTGACCCTCTTGCCTCAGCTTCTTGAGTCTGGGACTCCAGGCAAACACCACCATGCCTGGCCTTGAGGTTGGATGTGGAATTAGACTCAAGTCTCCCCTGTAGTCCCAATCCAGGAAGCAGAGACTTAGCTGGACTTGCCTCTGTGGCTGGGTCTTTTTTTTAACTATTTAGAAAAAATTTTAAATCATTATGGGCCTTTCATCCTTTAATTCATTGTAGGGTCTTTTGTTCTGATCATTGAAATGGGTACAATATTCTACCAAGTGCATATATTTTAACTTACTGAATATTCTTCTTCATATTCTGTACAATTAAATATATGATTAGTGTAGAAGCAGGTTTATTCCCTCCCCCATATAGCTTAAGAAATATTTATCTTGAGAGGAACTAAAAATCACAATATTTGAACATTTTTAAAAACACTTCGTGTATAGTCAGCCCTCTGTCTCCATGGAGTCTGTATCTGCAGATTCAATCAGCCACAGACTGAAAATATTCCATGGCTGCTGACATGTTCTATGACAGTTAGGCCTTTGATGGTTGTGTCTATACTAAACACGTACAGACTTTTTCTTGTCATCATTCCCTAGACAATATAGTATAGCAACAGCAACTATTCACACAACATTTACACTGTATTAGGTAGTATAAGTAATCTAGACATGACTTAAAGAATACAGGAGGATGTGTGTGGGTTATATCAAAATTCTATGCCATTTTACATAAGGGATTTGAGTATCCTTAGATTCTGGTGTCCTTAGTAGAGTCCTGGAACCTCTCTCCTAAGAATATAGGGATGACTGCATGTTAATTTTTTATTAGGAGTTTGAGATGTTTTCTTGCTTAGTAAAGGTAGAAATGCATTGTCCTGAAGGGGTCTGCAATACACAGCAACATCCTTACCTGCCCCCAAATGGTACTTGGCAACCCAGATGGGAATAGATAGTTGACTCCCACAGCCTACTATCCCTGTGGAATTCAGTCATGAGGCACCCTTCAAGCCACGTCAAAAGCCTAATAGTTCCAGATAAGACTCAAAGACACAACCACATTTTGTGGTTACACTTTCCAGAACGATTCATGATCAGGGAGGAGATGGTGGTAAACAAACAAACAAATAAACAAAACCTCCATACTTCCCTTAACCTACTATAACAACAACAAATTAAACTACTCAACTAATTCCCCATCACTGCATCTTAATCTTAAACAAGGTTGTTTTAGAGAGCTGGAAAAAGGGGCATGCACACTTAACCTGAAAGCTCAATTTACCTTTGTTGTGAAAATTATGTTATAGATTTAAGCAGTTCAAGGCAGCAAGTCTGTAGCAAGGACTCAGAGGCCCCAATGAGCAAACATGGCTTGTGGAAACGGGTTCCCTGCTTAGATAACATCGCAGATTCAGAGGTAGAAAAGATGACTTGGAAGAGGTCAGCTTCTACTCACCATTTGTGTAAGGGTTGACAGTCTTTTTATTTGTCATTACACGTGCTGTGGCATTATTTACCTATGTACATAGAAAACTAAAATGAGTATTTATCCCAGGGCCAGCCCACAATTCAATTAGTTGCATGCATTATGACTGTGATTACTTATTAAAACAAAATGAAACTAAAAACTAAAATGCATTTAATTTATAAAAGGCAGTAGGTGCATAACAAAATCATACATTTTTATAATTACATTTACTTCATCACCATTTTAACTTACAAATCATTTCAATAAAGCAATGTCATATCATTTAAACATTTAATAAAGAGACAGTAAAAGCAAATTAAAAGATACTGCATAATTGAAGATTTAAAAGCATGCGTGTACTCCATGGTAACAACACAGAAACGATAAATATTTTTTTAAACATAAAAGAAAGTTCATATGAAAGAACATGCAGTGGAGTAGAGAGGGAAGAGACAAGGTACAAGGGAACAGAAATGTCAAAAAAAGGGACAAACAGGTTGTAGCCGTGTGCAACACTTCAGGAGGGAGGAACCATCGGGAAAGCAACATCTAGCATTCAACACTTGGAACATGAGCCTTTTACATCGCAAGAATTAACAAAATCATTCAAGCTTTAAAGTCACAGCTAACGAAAGGATAAAAGAGAGGGTGCATTGTTTAACACAATATGGAGTTAACGATCTGAGTAAGATGTGCACCAGTCAAAACTCAATCCAGTCAGTGCCTTCCAGGCTAGCTTAGAACGTACACTCAATTACAGGCGTACCAATATCCAAAAAAATAGAGCATCAAGAAAACTTAATACGACAAGTCAAAAAAATTCACGTGGTAGAGATATATGTAGATAGAGAGATCAGCACTAAATACGTGAAACGGCAGCTGGACTTCACCACTTACCATTCGCCACCATCGCCAGCATGGCTTTGTGTACAGTTACCATGGTTACTGAGAGTTTGGTGAGGGGCCTAAGCGTTATCGTCGAAGGGGGAAAATAAAAGGCAAAATATGCAACATCTTACTCCAAAGACTAAAGCATTTTTAACTGGTATTTTTTTTTTTAAAAAGTTTTAACAAATATGACCCTGTGGGTGTGTTGAGGGAGATCCCAGTGGTACAAATAGGAGACTGTGCACATTAGAATTTTGCTCTTCCTGTTTTCAGTGACAAGGGTCAGACACAGAACAGGAAATCCTGCTTGCTTATTCACTTTGTCATTCAGAGAATATAAAAATTACAACGGGTTCTTAGAAAAAAAATGAAAGGTGTCATGACATGGACCTCTCATTCTTAATGTTCCTTTTTCACTTTTTTTAACAAATCTTTTCAATGCTCCTCCTTTCACAATTTGGTTTAATTTGCACACCACTGTGGATCCCTCTTCAACCCTGAAGTGGAAAGAAAAGAAAAAGAAACTGCTTTGTATTTGGTTCGGTTTGCAACCCTGGCTATTCTTTGGAACCTACTGCACCCATTGATTCTGAAACATGGAAAATAAAAAGAGAAACTTTCTGATTAACCTTTCTTTTGTCTGACTTTTGCCATCCACCTTCAGCAGTAATAAGAGTAACATAATAAAGTAAACTTAAAAAAAAAAAAGTAAGGCCAGTTTTCCTTTTTATATATAAATATATATATATAAACAATGAGGAAGGAGCAGGGTCACATACAAGACGCCAATGATGCATCTGGAACAACGAATGAGCGTGAAGCAGACATTTATCAAAAAGATGAAAAGGAAAATATTTTGAACATGCACCTCGATTTTACGGCCCTCTACCACGGTGCCGTGTAATTTCTCCCTCGCCCTGTCCGCATCGGCACTATTTTCGAAAGTTACGAAACCAAATCCCTGCATGCAGGTGGGAGAAGGGAAAACAACATGCAGATTATTATTTCAGTCAACGACCACTTTGTAACGTTCTCTCGCTTTAATTTCTATGTCTTGTCCTGGCTTCAGTTCTGTAACATGCAAATTAGAGAAATTATAAGAGTACTAAGATGTGCAATAATTAAGCGACAAATGTGAACAAGATTTTTTTTCTGTCACCCGTTAGCTGTAACCCCTGAAGAATTCAAAGAATGATACCAAAAATACCTTTCTAAATGTCACTACAGAAGAAAATAAATCTAACGAAAAGAAAATGAGATCAAAATAAATTTACAGTGTCTTCACAGAGAATAAAATGAAATAATGAGGGAAAAAAAGGGAACCGCTTTTTCTGACATGCAAATTAAAAATAAAATAAAATAAAACGTGTGCACGAAATTCAACAATGAATGCCAAAACCCTCTAACGTTGCCTACAGAGTCATGCTGTGTGGTTTTAAGAACATCTCTTCTTCATGCAGTTTTAGGGTTACTCAAATTGGTCACTTTAACAGCCTTTACTTCTCAAAAATAAAAGTTAAAAGCCTAATAAAAGGAAAGACCTTTTTTTTAATAAGAAATCTTAAACTCTTTGATCTAATAAACAACAAAAAAGTCACATGAAATGAATAGAAATAAACTTCAGTTGATTAATAATGCAAACAATTCAAGTAATTTTTTTGTATTAATGCTTCTCCCACTCCCAAAGAACATACATGCTTCTGAATTGGACAACTTTCCATAGTACTGTAGTAAGCCAAAAAGGAAATATGCATATATATTGTAAATTTCCAAGACATTAGGCTGGTATTCACTTATGCTATCAACAGGTAGTGAAATAGAGAAGCTTAGTTAATAAACTGTAATTCCTAACACCCTGAGTGATTTCTCTCTTCCTAATAGATGACAAAGGACTCTTTACTTCACCACAGCTAGATTTTGCTTTCAATATTTCAGCCTCAAAAAACAACCCCACCAAACTTTGTCAGTTCATAGGACAAAAATTCATCTTTTGTCTTTACTGACACTGTTCCTAAGAAGAGTACAGAAAATGTGACACATTATTTTTAGACCCCCTAAATATATTTGTACATCTTGTTCAGAAATATACACCAACCTTTTGAATAATTCCAGTGTAAATGTGCCCAGCTTTTTCTGGTTTTCTGTGTAAACTGGGTGAAATAACACAGGATGTTGTTGGGTGAGTCTGACATACGGTCAATGATGGTGTTCTGCTTAGTTGGGGTAGTAGGATATCCAGTTTCGCTAATTTAATATACAGTACTTACAAATAATGGAGAGTTAAAACGAACAGTTTGTATCTCTCAGTCCCACATTCGGTCTCTACAGTGACCTCTGAACCCAAGGATGTTCAATGGGTTGACTCTCCAGTAGTAAAAATAGTCACGTCTCTCACCGAGGACATCAGCCGCGAGTGTGTTCAAGCCACAACTGATGATAAACATTATGTGTCAGGATTCTCTAAGGGGGGGGGGGTCTTTAAAAAGTTTATGGAAATATATGCAGTGCAAAATCTATCAAAGCATCTAAAAAATTTTGGCACCAAAATAAACTCATTCTTTAATTCCATTTTCATGAACTTCATAAAGTCCCCTCGTAATGAGAAAAATAGAGTGTCTTTACTTTGAAGACCAAGCCACATAGATTTCCTAATTTTTAGGATCTGTGATTAGAATAAGCCTGAATGTATCTGGTTTAAGATCATGCACTTTATAACAGAAAGGTCCTATTAATCTTGTACGCGTCGTAAGTCCATGTTGGGTGCTCAAATATATCTGCTGACTAAATGGCTTTGTAATAATAGCTCTTCGGTGGGAAAAAGACAGAATGGGGGGAGGGCTCTATGTGATGGCTCCATCTCCTGGCTAGCCCCTCCCCGAACTTGTACTCCTGGCCCTGTTCCATATTTACTGGGTCAGAATCCTGGAGTGGAGCCCAGAAATCTGCTTGCCTAAAAAGCTGCCTCTGTGGCTCAGCAACTGAATCTTCACAACCTCCACCTCGAAGAGGGGTTTCGGCTCCTTGTCCTAAGTCCTTGTCCTAAGTACGATCTCCTGTTGTTGGTTTCTGTAGAGCAGCCTGGGGCGAGGATTCTGAGGAGACATCTAGCTGGCCTGGTACTAGGGCTCAGAAGGAGGGGTTCAGCCAAAGCACGCATCTGAGGCGTCTCAGCAATGATCGCCATGTCCTCCCCTAAAGCCTCATGCCCCAGCCTGAGCAACAACGCCGTACCTTCAGAACTAAGGGACGCTCGGACTCGATTCACAGGCTTACCAGGCGCTCGGACTCTGATTCACAGGCTTACCAGCAAGTAAAGAAAACCCATAGCCCCAGTTTAACATGAAGGGATTTCAAAAAGTTCGTGGCGGGGGTTGGGGGGGAGAATTAAAGTGTGAGTTTATTTTTGGTACAAAGTTGGAAATCTCTGCACAGCTCTTTCATAACATACAGTTCCCATAAGTTTGTGAAGAC